ATAAAGTTACTTGTCAGGAAATTAAAATATAAGCATACAATTTATAAAAAAGGCTGTTGGTTTTCAAAAGGGTTAACAACAAAAAAGTCCCCTGTGGTATAGCTGTCATGCAAAAAAGTCCCCTGTGGTTTCATATCATACGCATCGATACTCCATGGTTTGAATTATTGTGAAAAGTCGACGGAAATCGTTAAAACAGACAGAGCTGAGTGAAAAGACAAAATTACCATTTTGATATAAGCGACAATTGCAAAATAAATCCGTTGTTGAATAAAAGACCAGCTCTTTATGCCTTTCGTCCATTATACTCACAGAATACCCAAGGTGCCTTAAATAGAAATTTATTTATCGGATAAAATAAATTTAAACCCATTGTTGAATAAAAGACCAGCTCTTTATGACTTTTGTCCATTATACTCACAGAGTACCCATTTTCTTTAAATACTAATTTATTTTTTGGATAACATAAAAATAAACCCGTTATTGAATAAAAGAGCCCCACTTTTCAACAAAGAAAGGAAAAGAAAAGAAAATGCACATCTTTGTAATTTTAAGAAATACTAATTTCTATAGTTGCGACAACAAAAAAAATTACAGAAAAAAACAAAGATGTCGCAACTATATGAGAAATTTCTGTAATTTTTTTTGTTGTCGCAACTATAGAAATTAGTATTTCTAAAAATTACAAAGATGTGCATTTTCTTTTCTTTTCTTTTCTTTGTTGAAAAGTGGGGCTCTTTTATTCAACAACGGGTTTATTTTTATGTTATCCGAAAAATAAATTAGTATTTAAAGAAAATGGGTACTCTGTGAGTATAATGGACGAAAGTCATAAAGAGCTGGTCTTTTATTCAACAATGGGTTTAAATTTATTTTATCCGATAAATAAATTTCTATTTAAGGTACCTTGGGTATTCTGTGAGTATAATGGACGAAAGGCATAAAGAGCTGGTCTTTTATTCAACAACGGATTTATTTTGCAATTGTCGCTTATATCAAAAGGGTAATTTTGTCTTTTCACTCAACTCTTTCTGTTTTAACGATTTTCGTCGACTTTTCACAATAATTCAAACCATGGGGTATCGATGCGTATGATATGAAACCACAGGGGACTTTTTTGCATGATAGCTATACCACAGGGGGCTTTTTTGTTGTTAACCCTTTTCAAAAAGAACTTTTAATAAGTACAACCATGGCTGCAAGCAATTGGTGTTTGCCATTTGAAGTAGTTAGTTTCCGTGGTGTATACATCTTATTTGTTACCTTGACCTCATGTTGTCCATGCACTAATATAAGTTCAGTTCATAATATAACATGGCAACCCGAGCACAAGCAAGTGCCGAAGATCATTCCTATCATATAGGTATAACAACAGAAATTCGCCATTATCCAACGACCTCTATAATATAACAACAGCCAAGCACCATGTTGCACCACTAATACAATATAACAATAGAAATTCGGCCCGTGCACCACAATCCGCAAGTAATTCATTCAAAGTACTTTGGAAATTAAAGTAGCAATTAATCAACTAATCTTTTTTGAAACTGCCAACTAATCATTTTTGAAACTGCCAACTAATCTTCATCTGGCCTCTTCTCATCAGGAACCTGCAGTTTGTTAATCCAGTACTCCTGAAGATCGCGTGACATAGTCAGAAAAGTTTTACGCCATTTGTCATCTTGGAGTTGTAAAAGAGCCGTGACTCTCCTTCCTTTGGACAGGCCTTCGAACGACTCGATAACCTGAGTTGCCATTGTGACATCATATTTCTCAAAGTCATTGGAGCGACGATCCTTAATTTGCAGTTTTGCTGAGGCTAGGTTGTTGAGGGAGTTGGCACACTCAACGAATGGATTATCAGAACTTTTGCTCGACTTGCTCTGGCGAGATCCCAAACCCGAGTTTGTAGCCCCTACGCTGGCCGATCCTCTCTTTCTTCCAACATTAGGAGCTGTATCGTAGCATGTGATATCTGGGTCACCGGTGAGCAATTCATCTTCAAAATGCGAACTTGATTGCCCTCCCAAATGAGTAGCCGGCATTTGTCGAGGCACACGCGAAGATGGAGATGCAAAGGAGGAAGTTGCTTGGCTTCCAGTTGCAGTTTCTCCTTCAAAGACCTCGGATAGTATCGTATATTTGTCGACGCATTGGAAGTATCTGAACTGGTTATAGTCTTTATTCTCCTGTCCAATAAAAAAAATTATCCTTTAAGTCTCAAATAGAAATCATTTAATAAAGCCAAAATACACCTATTTGTTAGCACACGAGTACTTATTCATCATATTCTACCATAGTAGCCAAGAACTAATCAAGTCTTAAAATTATTCCATTGCCGGTAAGGTCACAAGTCACAACTCAGCCCGGCAGTTACGAATTAAGCATCAAAGGAAAAAATTGTAAACATGAAATTCTGTTGCCAAAATTTTAACTTGATTTGGATGGTAGATTACCATTTGCAGATTCCTCCACTGAGATTCATCGGCCATAAAGCATCTCCTATTCTCGTTCCACCCAATTCCAGTTTCGGCCGAGAGTCGCAGACCTTTTAATTTGGCAAATGCACACCAAATCCTCCTCAAACGTGTGTACTTCGAATGGTAGACAGTCCACATATACTGCTTTCCCCAACTGGAATTAAGATGGGCAGCCAGTTTCATCCAGTTTGCCTCGGTGGAGATGTTTGGATTCCACTCCCCACTTTTTTTCCACTCAACGTATGTCATACAGAAGTGTATCTCCATGTTTTCATCCCAGTGAGCTTTTGCGGTGGTATGGTCACGAGGCATCTAGAGATTAAAGACCAAAGGAAGTGTATATCAGTTTGTAGTACTGGCAAACGAATATTAAACTGTCAAACAATTACAGATTTTAGATAAATATATCTTTGTGACTCAAAACTTTGCTACTAATTTCCAATTCCAATGCAGCAGTGGCAACCTTAGGGCTGACTCAATATGTGGAAGAACTCCAATAAGTATTGTCCTTATTTCTAGAAATACTTATTTGTTTGAACCCAAGCTGTACCTCAAACAATCAAGTGATTTACAGGTGCTAGCATAAAAATTGAATGGAGTAAACAGGCACACATTCAATAATTGATTAGCCAAGTTCAACAAGTACACCGAAGAATGTTAATTAATTGGATGTATGAAGGTGGCTAAGCAGGGCAGCAGCATGAAAATCCATAGCGCAAGTCTTGTTTTTGGACAGTGTATTATATTTTAGGATGGCCTTACCTTGAAGTAGTTAACTAAGGACTCGATGTAGTCGTTTGAGGCTGTGAATAAGTGGACAAAAGAAGTCTCGGATGCACGAGCGGGGGTTGCTGGACCGGACAATGATAGCCTGCTCTTGTTGGACATTTACTCCACGTAAGGGTGTGTTAATAGGATGCAGCTCATGAGTAAAATCCACTTGAATGAAGTAGTTTAAAAAACGCTTTGGTTCCAAGTTATCTTCTATTCTCAATCTTCGTTACTGGATGGGGGAGGGAGATGGACGACCATTTGGGGAACTTGCCTATGGTCTTTATCTGTAAAAACAGCCAGCATTCACTTGTTTTTCATTTTTTACCCAGTTCTTCAAAAAGCAACGCTACAATAGCATTACAACATAGACTTATAATAAGTTAATGGACTTAGACGTGTATATTAGTTAATGGACTTAGACTTGTACATCTTTTTCAAACAAGAGCAGGCATGTGTTTATACTTCACCGGAGAGGGAAATAACAGGTTTGAATCCTATTTCAGCATACTTACATATTTATAAACTTCAACATGTAAACAAGTTATGCCTACTTCATCATATTTCTAAACCTCAGAAATACGGTTATCTTTTTGAAATAGCAGCTATACTTCAGCAACATACAAATTCCGTTTATGGCCTTTCGATGCAAAACAGACCTAAAAAAATAAAAGAGCTCCGACAGTCAAGATTACTCTACCAATCAGTCCAATTAAGTTTCAGCAGGCATTATTAACTTTTAGGCCAGTCCTAATCATGCCTTAACACGATTTAAAATAAACATCGAATTTCATCCTAACTCACAAATATCGTGTCTATAGGTGCCTGTACGCGGCAATTACGCCCAACTCTGAAGTATATTACGCCGGCAGCAACATTGCAATTTCAGAATGCGTAAAGTTTATGATTCAATCGTTCCTATTCAAATTAGGGCTGACTCATAAATTGGGGAAATGTGTGAAAAAACTTATATAAAAAAAAGAACCGCACTTGACCTGGTTCTCAAATTCGTTGCAAATTGTTTCAGATGACAACTTTCAATTTCCTTCTCACAAGCTCCAGTTCGAAAGCTCAAGCTCTTTACCCTTGATAACCCGGAAAGTAAAGCTGGTATTCAGCTACGAACTTGCAAAATTAATTACCCCAGATATGGATCTCTATTTGTGCCTCGACTGGTGCCAAGCGCGGTACTGTAATTGACGTCAACAGGGGAAAGAAAGCACGGATAGCGGATGTCATTTTGGATGAAACCTTTTTCTTGAAAAAAGGGGTATAGAAATTGCAGAGAGGTGGCTGGAGTTTATCTCTGAAGCAAAAACGGAAGCTCCTGCAATCCTCAATGCTCTCTGGACTGTTCTCTTTTTCCACTACCCCTTTCTTACAACGGATACATTTTAGCAAAATGTACGGAGGTAGTAAAGGTGTTGGGTGAGAATTGAATAAAACATGGTGGGTCCTTGCACCACGTGAACCCTGACTCCAAGACCCCTTTTTTCTGTTAGTTTGGTGGTATAACTTAGCATCCCCTTGTGGAAAACATTTGCAAAAAATTACGTGTCCAAACAAAGATTTCAAATTAAAATTTGCACACTAAATTAAGCAAAACAAATTATGCAGTCCAAACGTATCCACTGTCATCCAATGTGCACATCACAAGCCTTAGAAATTCCCAAGCCCAAATCCAAACTCAAACTTAAGGCCTCAACTCTTAGTCCAACTGTTATTTTGCTTGCAATTTTCTTTTCGCCTTTACTACGCCACAGCATCTAGTCGTTCGGCTTCCAGTAGAATCACCACCCCTTCTCAAAACGGTGCCGTATAAGTACAGTCCCTGCAGCAGCTCTTAAACCCTAAAGGGTCTAAAAACCTTAAAACCTCTTCAGTGTGTGTTAGTGTGTGAGACAGAAAAGGGATAAAGCTTTTTTTTTTTCTTTTAATCCCAATAATCTGAAGAGATTTTGAGGTTTTTTTTTTCCTTGGAAAGGCTGAAGCGATAGATTGAAGAATGAAGAACAGGGAAATGAAAAAGAGACCTTCAGCTCAAAAGGGTCGGACTTTTAACAGTAAAAACAAAAGGATTTCAATCAATCAAGACCCATTTTTTGATGCAGAGGAGAAAGGGTCGAAGCAGCGGCGGAAAATGGAAGAAGACGATGATGAAGATATAGAGAGCAGCAGCGGCGAGGATGAGGAGGATGATGGTGATGAAGGAGGAGGATTTGGGTCTGGAAGGAAAGGGGGAGAAGGAGAAGAAGATGAAGAAGAAGAAGAGGAGACGGCGGGGGAGATGAAGTTGAGACTGTCCAAGGATTTGTTGAAGCTTATGACTGAAGCAGAAAAAGAAGAGCAGGAAGAAGAAGAAGAAGGGAGTGGGGATGATGAGAAAAGAAGAGTTGAGAGAGAAGGCCAAAGGGATTCGCGGGTCCTGAAGATTTTGCAGCAGCAGCAGTTGGAGGAGAGTGGCCGTCTCCGAAGAGCCATTGCTTCAAGGTATTGCATTAATTATCGTTCTATTGCATTTTTATTTTGGTTCATGGAGAAATGGGATTATTTGGGGAATCTGTTATTTGAAGTGCTTGTAGTTTTGAAGCTTGTATATTGTAAAAGGTTTTAATTTTTGCCGCATTAGTGGTGTTAAATATGATTGATCAAGCAATTGAGTTGTTGCAGCAAACGATGTATGGACTGTGGAAACTTGGTGGCGAGTCACATATTTTAAAGCTATGCCTTATGTTCTTAATTTGGTTTCAATAAACATATGTGCTATTCTGGCTATTCAAAAGGAATATGACAAAACAGGAGGCAAGATTTGTCCTGTTAGTGATACAATTATCACTAGTTATTCTTTTTTAGTTTGATTAAAAAAATAAGTGCATGGAACCTTGCTTTTAAATTCAACTGTATTGTCACGGTGATTTCTTGAAGAGGATTTTTCATTCTTGAAAGGATTCCTTGATCTTTCATGTGCTTTTTAAGTTCTGGAAGTTGCTTTTATATATATAGAAAGGAGCAAATCTGAAGATAACTGTATTGATTGATTATCTAGGGTGCAAAAACCAGAAACAAGTGATGGATTTCGAGTCTTGGTAAAGCACCGGCAGTCTGTTACTGCTGTTGCTTTGTCTGAGGATGACTTGAGGGGATTCTCAGCTTCCAAGGATGGTAGTATTCTGCACTGGGATGTAGATAGTGGAAAGACTGAAAAGTACACTTGGCCAACTGATGAAGTACTCAAGGCTCATGGTGCAAAGGACCCACAAGGTCAGGCAACAAAGCATAGCAAACATGTTTTGGCATTAGCTGTCAGTTCTGATGGTCGATACTTGGCAAGTGGAGGATTGGATCGTCATGTTCATTTGTGGGACATTCGAACTCGGCAGCATCTTCAGGTATTACAAGAAATCCAGGAGTTACGTAGGTCAAATTTAGCTTGAGCTTAGAAAATATCTGGCTTATAAGCAGAGAAAAGAATGAGATTAGAAAGATATCTCTTTGGTGAACTTGAATTTTTCTGATTATATTGAGTTTTGGATTGCTGATACTACAGAAGTATGCATAGTGAAAATTTTATCACCCACCTTGAAGCATATTGATTTTATTTCATTTGGAGAAGGATGTCTAGAATTTGTCATTGGTATCATTTTACCTGTCCTTTGTAGTAAGTATCTTTAGAAAAGCACATAAGTTCATGTAATTCTGTATGGTAGCAGATGTTGTTAATTTATTTATGTTAAATTCAGTTTAATATTATTTTCATTTTATTTTATGTAGTGTTTCACTTTGCCTACAGATGACTTTATTATCATTATCCCGTTTTCTGCTTGAAAATATGCAGTTAACGATAACACTTAATCTTTCTGGGCTTACCATCCTATATTCCTTCCCTCTGATGGTAACTAACAGTGCTGCAATGTTTGTGTACACTTCATTACATCTTAAACTTTCTGTTAATATGGCTTTCAGGCCTTTCCCGGCCACAAAGGGCCAGTATCATGCTTGACATTCAGGAAAGGAACTTCAGAACTATTTTCTGGTTCATTTGATCGGGCTGTCAAAATCTGGAATGTGGAAGATAGAGCTTATATAAGCACATTATTTGGTCACCAGAGTGAAGTTGTAACAATTGACTGCCTAAGAGTTGAACGAGTCCTGACGGTTGGGCGTGATCGTACCATGCATCTTTGGAAGGTATTAACTGATCAGCTACAATTCTAAATGAACTAGTGTTAGTTTTCGACTTGAACTGTAGCAACTAGTTTTTGTTCTAAGAATTTTCAAAATAATTGGAAACTAAGACGATATGCTTATAGATGGAGATTTTTTTTTTCTTCTTTTTAAAATTTTTAAAATTTTAATTTGTAGATGGGCGTTGTAGCAACAGAAACTTTTATTTGTTGAATTGGTGTAATAACGCGATCTTGGTTTGGAAATGTGGTTTTCTTTAATAATTCATGACATAGGAGTGTTTTCTTGCTTCTTGTCAGTGGGTGGGCTTTTATGGAGCTAGGCTGTGCATCTTAGTTTCTTTTTTTCTTACATCTTCTCCCTTGCTGTTGTGTCCAAACTTTTGATGCAATCACACACACAAAGTCCCGGGGGTTACTTCTTTCCTCTCTTTGGAAACCTTCATGCCCCATAAAGAGCATCCCATGAGTACAAAGGGGAGAAAGCAATTACTTTGTATATTTCAGCATTTTTTTTCCTTGTTCGTTGAGAATTTCTTTGAGGTGCCTCTTGTATAGGTGAACGCCCTTTATAGCATGGAGGTGGATGAACTTCTGCATTTGTAAGTGTAAAAATTGGGGAGAGAAAGAGTTAGAAATTTTAGTTGGGAATTGACTGATTCTGTTATTTTAGTTACTCTTCAATCATAGGTATTTCCCTATGTGTGAAGATATTGCTAAATTGGACAAATTTCTTCCTGCTAGATTTAAATAACTGATTTTAGACTTCAAAATTGATACCAAAAATCTGATTCAGTTTCACCAATCAGAGGGGCATATGACAGGGATTCGTTGTAACTAGGACATAGAACGAAGTTGTTTAAATGGCGAAAGGTGCAATATGCAAATAACTCAGATGATATATCAAGACTACTACTATTGGTTTAATCTTTCTTCTTCATTGTCATGGGGTGGTAAAAAATTGATAAAGCAGCTAACAAGATCTTTGATAGTGTACTAGCATGAGCTAGTTAGTTAACTTCTCTTTCTGCTGTCAATGAGATTTTTTTCCCCTTATCTGTGATTGCCTTTCTGGTGCTAGAACTAAGATCTCTATGGACGAACTTTATTGAGAGAAAGAAATTTGGACCTGTAAAGGAGAGAGTTCTACTCTGATCATAGAGGAGGTTATGCTGCACTACATGCATATGAATTCCATGATGTTTTGCATTATGATATTAGTATGATTGCAAGTGGAACATGTTCAAAGATACGGTAACTTGTAAGAGCAGTTGCATTGAAATTCAATTTGAAAAGAATTGCATGACAAACAACTTGTAGGTGGCCGATTTTGTTGTACCATACTCATTAGATTTTGATTTTTTTTCAATGTTTTGGTTTGTTTCATCATAACAAACAAGCTGAAGTAAAAAGGTCTCTGAGTTTGTGGTTCTGTATTTGTATCTGATTATTATTATTATTATTATTATTTGGTCTTTTCGGAATGACAAGGAGAGAGTTATAAAACCTCTCTACATTAGGCTTTATTTACAGGAGCACAATTTAGTGAATGAAATTGCTTAAACCTGATCTTCAGAGCTGTATATTCTCGTTTTTCTTATCTTTGTGGCTCCCCTACTGTGCTCCATATCAACTCCACTTGTCCAGGAGTATAATAGAAGAAAGGAATTAAACCTGTTTGGAAGTGCTTAAACCTGTTTTGGAAGCGCTTATTTCTTCAGCTGAATTGTAGCTTGAATTGTTATCAAGTTTGCTATCACCATGGGGTGCCCTGGACCTTTCTCCAGAAGTCTCTTTGGCCATTTCCCATGAGATTGGATAAAGTTCTAGTAGAGAAGTTTTATTCAATTTTGCGCTTTTAGGTCTCTTGCATGAATTGTTTTCAAGTTTGATTCCCATGAGACAGGACAGAGTTCTTGTAGAGAAGTTTTATCCAATTTTGTGCTTCTAGGTCTCTTGCTCTTCTGTCTGGAATGAATGCTATATGCTGGCAATTTAACACTACTCTATTTTCTTGTTTTGGCTTTTAAATCTCAAGAGGTCTATCTGATATGTGCCATTTTTGTCAATAATCTTGTAATACTTTTTTCTTTTTCACTGCTCGCATCTTTAATTCTGTTCATCATCCCCAAATTCTTTTCAAGCGTAATTGTGAATTATAACTACTACTAGTGGGATATTCTTTCCAAGTATAATCCAGCAAGAAGTTTGGCTTTAAAATACATTACTCTGGCTATGATTGAACCCTTCATGGTAATTTTCCTTGACCTTACAATAAGCTGTCTTCTTTGGCTTTAAAATCATGGTAATTTTCCTTGACCTTACAATAAGCTTTCTTGTACTATGCAAAATAGGTTCCTGAGGAAAGACAGTTGATATTTCGAGCTCCTGCCTCATCCCTAGAGTGCTGTTGTTTTATAAGCAATCAAGAATTCTTGTCAGGCTCTGATGATGGTAGTATTGAACATTGGAACGTATTAAGAAAGAAGCCTGTCCATATTGTAAAAAATGCTCATGCCTTGGTTTCATCGAGCCAGTTTGAACAGGAAAATGGTGGACTACCAAATGGCCACATAGGTATACTTGCAATCCTTCTCTTGCAATTCACATGTACCTTTTCTTTTTCTTGTGTCATTATCTTAAGTTGGTCTTAGTAGTAACTCTTTTTGCCTTCATTCTGGTAGCAGTAATTACATGTGGTAACTTGAAGGAATTGTTATTAGCTTCTTTATCATGTGTGCTGAGAAATATGAGCCTTAATTTGATCCATTTTCTTCGCTTTATCCTCAGAAAATGGTGATCAAAGCCCACAGAATCTTTCTCCTCTAGCACGTTCTTGGATAAGTTCGATATGTGTATGTAGAAGCAGTGATCTAGCTGCATCAGGAGCTGGAAATGGTTCAGTTCATCTTTGGGCGATTCAAAGTGAATCCAAAGGAATCAGTCCTTTGTTTCAGCTCCCTCTAGTAAGCTTTGCATTTTACAGATGTCTTTTCTATCTTGTTCCCATAGCAATTGCTGCTGCTCTTCCGGTTTTGTGTAGTTAGAATTTTTTCTGTTCTAGACTCTATATCTGGCTGATTTTGTAGAGTAGTGTTATCTATTTAATTCTAAGGTTAGAGTACCTATTTAATTACATATTCTGTGGTTACATTAGTCGACGATGCCCTTTTCCCTCATATGGAGCAAAGTAGTTTGACTTTTCATTCTGCTATGTGTTAGTTTATCTCAGGGGGTGGTCGTTCTCATTTGACTAAAATTAGTGGATTCTAGCCTTTCTCAACCTAAAAGTTGTTGGTCTTGTTTGTTCTTAATTTATATTTTTTCAGGATGGTGAGGCTCTATAATGTTCTTGAAAAGTGCCCTGTGTAGGTATTTTTCAAAGTTTTCAAGACAAAAACATTTTGAGTTCTCCAAACAGGTTTCTCCAGGAGTAAACCATATAGTTAGTAAGACCTGGAGCAAATGAGACAAAGGTCTATAACAGGATTTCTGAGACTTTGGTGGAGTTTGATAACTTATTGTTTTGGTCATCCTGTGCTTCAGTTTTCCCCAAAAAGATGTGGCCTCCCATCCTGATTTTCAACCGAAATAGGTAGTTTCTCGCGTGAGCCAATCTACCTTTATGCATATTACAGTTGCGAAGTGTTTATATGCAAAAACACTAATGCAGTTATTGCCTATTGATGGTGTCCAATGCGCTTGCTTATTGATTAGTGTCCAATGCTCCTAGTGTGTGTCCAATGCTCCTGGCCTTAAAGAACATTTTTTCCCTTTTTCCAAAAATGATTTAACTCAAAAGATTATCAGTGGCGGTTAGATAACTGCTTTTTGCTTGGCTGGATATCCCTGAATTGTCCAACCTCTGCTTTTTACATCCCTGAACTCCCAAAGCATCTGCCGAGCTTGTCTTGACAAATAATCCTTATCTGTCTCTGAATTCAAAATAAACATTCCAGCTTTTGTGAGATATGTTATCAACTGGTCTTTGATATTCCGATCCAAAAGGCTTGTCTATTAGATGACTTAACCATAGTTGATTAGTTAATTTATGCGTGGGGAATCTCAGGATTTAGTGCTTCATGATGTGTTTCCTGCCTTGTTTTCTCTGATTAAACATATTGCTTTGATATGACAAATTTTTTAGTGATTTACTGCAAAACTTTTACTTCTTGTGCGATGAGTAATATCAAGGTCTCCTGCTTTAGTTTTCTAAAGCTATGTGCTGTTGTAGGTTGGATTTGTAAATTCTCTAGCTTTTGCCAAATCTGGGCGCTTCCTGGTTGCTGGTGTTGGACAGGTACGTTTTTTCCTTGTTTCACTCTCAATAGTTTCGGATTCAAATTTCCTTATCATTTATGAAATAGTCTTCATGCTGTACAAATGTCTGTTTGAAGTAATTTGATTGCTAATCTAATATAGAACGTGCTTGGCTTCCTCTTATGAGTTTAAGGCAAACACATTATTGTGGTAGGTGGAAAAGGCCAAAGCCTGATCAATGATCAAAATTTGTTGGTGAATTGTTTTGTTTCTCTCTCTACTGAATAGATAGGTTATGTCCTCATCTGCAGATGATTGAGCCTGAATGACCTTGAATCAAGAAGATTGGAGAGTTGGATTTTTGTTCTACAACGGTTGTTATGATGTATAATATATCATGTTTCTCTATCTGCGTATGCACAAATACAAGTTATAAGCTAGGGATCCGTTTCATTTGGAGGATGACCATGATCATAGTCAGACAGAAGAAGTTCCATAAGAATGACAATAAAAATCCCATTAGTGTTAAAGAGTTCTATGAGAAAAAAGATAAAAAATCAGAATTATGCTTGAAGCCTGAAGAGGTTATTTATGAACATAAAAGGGGTTGGGATAATGCAGTATCATTAGTTCCAGAACACTGTAAAATCAGAAGATTGACTTGGGATCTTGGCACTCATGGTTTCTTTCTCAACTGTTTCAATAAGCTTCTGCTTACTGTTAGGGAGAAACACCTCGAGAGACCCCACCGAAGAGCCCAATATGTAAGTCAGGAACCCAACTTTGACCCAAAAGCTTAAGCTATTAGGTCTCGGGCCCTTACTTACATATTAACCGCTCTTTCTCTATCTCTCGGACCAATGTGGGACTAACCCTTTACTCATGAACCTAACACTTACTTTGTGCATGAAATAGATGCTTTATTCTTATTTGAGTTTAGATGATATTTGTTGTGACCAAAGTGACTGGGAACTAACTTAGTTTCACTTGGAAATATTTGTTCACTATTGTCATGGCCTCATTTTAGTATTTACTTGCTGAATGGTAAAAGCACCATCAGTATAACATGGAAGCATTTGTATTGTGTAGGAGCCCCGCTTGGGAAGATGGGATCGTATTCCTGTAGCTCGGAATGGTGTGGCTGTGCATTCTTTGAAACTCTCATGAGAAAAGCAAGGCACGTTATATTATTCTTAATTTTAACTAACATAGAGGAAGAATACAATGTGTGGACATGTCCATGTTTTAACATTCATGATATGAATGAGCATTTTTGTAGCAGCAATCAATTTTGACTTTTATTTCCCAAAAAAATGAAAGGAAATTTGTTTCTTCTTCATGATTCTTCTTGTCGAGGAAAAAGGAAATTTGCAGCAACATCATTGCTGATCCTAAATTGGTGTGACACCCGAGATGAATCATCGGCTAAAGTTATGGCCATGATGCATAGCAAGAATGAGTTTGTATAACTACTGACTTTGACGAAGCATTCCTCACTATTATGTTTGAAATATATCTGCCATTTTCCTTGATCAATGCCTATTGTGTTTGTGCCTAATTAGATTGAAGATATTTGCTTATGCCGGAACACTTGATGGGTTACCATGTTTGCTTGATTCTTTCTTTTTGTGCATACCATGTCTGTTTTTCCCTGCCATCAGTACACAAGGCACATATGTGACTGTCAGTACTCAGCAGGTGAAGAACAAGATGAACTCGCTCCCAAGGAAAATTGGAGTTTGTCTGACTATATGATTGTTCACTCGAGATTCCTCCTTTTTTTTTTTTTTGGCAAAAAAGTGAAACAAATTTCTCCTTGTAGGGTACTAAAACTTTTTGGATGTGTAGCTATTTGTCAGCATCAGGCAAATATGGATACTTCTTTTTCGTTATATTCACCTGATCTGCAAAATTAGTTGTTTATATGGATATACTCGTTATAATCCTATAGAAAAAAAAGCACTTCTTGTAAACAGCTTATTGTTTTCTAGTCAATGATATTTTTTAATTCTTGTAAATATATATTGACTGACATCTAGTAATCCTTTTGAGTACTTTTTGAGGATAACAGTTCTCTCATTTGGAATTTTGTACTGTCTTGCATCTATAGTAAAGACTCAGGAACTGAATGTCTGGTTTGAGCAAAGAAATCAATTATGTTAATGCTGATAATCCAAGTATCATAAATTGCACATAATGTGTATGAAGTTAGACATTATATTTGTCTCCTCAGGATAAATAATGAAACACTTCATGCCATTTGTGCTACCACAAATTTCATCCCTTTATAAATTACCTAAAAGATTTATTAAATAGCAATTTGGCAATATGATCCAGCGACTCTGTTTCAGTGCATTTCTAACTGGTAGTGTTTGTTTATGCTTTCTATTTTTCTCTATTGTGAAAGGACTTTTAGTCCTTTCATATTCAAAGTCATAAAGATTTTGTGTGATATATGGGACTTATCAATAGGTGAATGCCATTGCTAACATGTGAATGCTGATCTAGGCAATCTAGCTTCTGTGTATAATTTCAGTATCTCATTCATAAAATGGTTCTTTATACTCTCTTATAGCATGAAAAAACATTTTTACATTGTATGTATCCATTTGAAGTCCTAGGGCATAATTGGGGTCCAACTGCTGAATCTCTTTGAAAAGGTACAAAAATGTTTTTTTTTTTGTTTTTTGTTTTTGAAAGCTTTAAGAAGTTTTTTCTGTGCAAGTTTTGAACTATCCGCATAGAGATTCATGAAAACATTGCTTATTCCATTGCATTGTATTCAAAGGCTCTCAAAAACTCAAAACTACCCACTTCAATTCACTGCTACCTTAGAACTTCATTAATCCACTAAAAATAGAGGCAAGGCAACGTATACAACTTCAACATGAACATAGAAAAGAGGAGCAACATGACCATTTCCAATTGAAGCTCTAATGCATTGAGCAAAACCTGTTTAACTTCATACGTCAAGAAATCATATATGGCTAAATTGTTCTTTCACATTTCTCCAAAAACATGAAAACTTGTTGATCATGGATGGTACAACTATACATAATTATCTCCTATATTAGGAGAGCTTGTCTTTATGCAAATAATGAATAATATATATTTCATTACATCCAACGTTATATGGGATAACTCAAATTTTTTTTTTTTTTTAAGGTGGAATAACCAAGCATGAGGCACAATTAGAAAATCCAATGAAGATTTTCAAGGTTGAAGGAACAACCAAAAATGCTAGCTTATACTCTAACCTACTTGTACGAAACTTCAACACGTAGCTATAGATAACAAGTTAAATCCTATGGTTACAATAATTTGCCAACAAGGAGTAAGCAATAATCTCGTGATAAACCTCCATTAATAGGATCTCGGAGATTAGGATAAATTTTGGGTTAATTACATTTACCTCCCTTGAGGTTTATCCATATTACTAAATAAACCTTATGGTTTGGCCAAATAACCAATACCCCCTTCATGGTAACTTCTGTTAATTGAGCTTGACGAATTTAGTGAAAAGTCGAAATTGCCACTTAAGATGTTCTTAATTTGGGGATAAAAAAAACGAACAAAAATCTGTTTGCCTAGCTCTGGTGGCAATTTCACCTAAATCTCTTCCAAAAATGATAAGATATCATCACTTGGTTGTACATCAACGATGTCAAAAATTCACATGACGGAAAGTTAAAGATTTAGGGACATCATGGGAACTGCATCCAAAATTCAACTTCAATGCAAGGATCCATAGTCCAGACCCTATGATTCCAACTCTAGATTAAGGGAAAAAAAAGAAAAAAGAATGCAATCTTCATCATCAAATAACTCAGGGAACAATAGAACATGCTACCTAGATACTTGTAGTATATGTGGAATTACTAGAAATCCCATATGAAGAAACCACGTCGCTCCAATTCTCCAAACTCACAAAAACTTAAGAAAACTATAATTTCACAAAAGCCATCTTCCTAAACCCAAAGATCACTTCTATGCGGCATTTCGTGGAGCAAAGAGTAGATGACTGCAGTTGTAGCAGCATTGACAGCTAGCATTGGTAGGTATTTTTAGTACCACCATCATGTTCTTTTGGCCTCTAATCTGATTGCTATTTTCACCCATTCACTACTTGCCGAATTCTTATCAAAAAGCGAGCAAACAAATGCACTTTTTCCTTTCTACAATCTTGATCTATCTTGCAAGAATTAAGAGGAGAGAACAATTTGGGCAGATTGCCTTGCAAAGGGATTTCTTATTGGCTTGGTTGGGAAAATATGGAGTTGAAGTTTAGAATTTTCTGGTGGATGTTGATAAAGGTGGTAATGGAGAATACGGTATTGTGAGGGTAGGATTGATAAGGATTGGTTGAGAAAGAATGGAAGAAGATTTCATGGGTAAAATAAAAAGTTGGGTGGAAAAAAAGGCCATATGTTACCGGGAAGATAAGGGCATTATGGGGCTCCATAACTTTTTCTTTGCTGATGTCACTATAATTATTAACGGTTGATAACGGCAAGGGACTTATTGATAAACGTTTGGGCAGTCAAAGGAGTTGAATGTTATTTGATTTAACCATAAGGTTTATTTGGTAATATGGACAAACCTCAAGGGAGGTAAATAAAATTAACTCGATAAAATTTAAATGCCTCATACTAAGATTAATTTTCAGGTTGCTCCTTATGGAATTCAAATTTATTCTCTGTTCTAAGACGAGATTCAAATTTTAAGATTGGAGACTCATACAATTGTAGGCTGGTTGTTTGGTGCAGTTAATGTTAGGGATGCATTCAATTTGAAATTGGGTAGATGAGATTGATTTGGAAATATAATTTTGAAGAAGTGTCAAAATTTATTCTATTGTTACATGTTATTATCTTAATGTCGACATTTGCTGTATTAGTGTTCACATGTGTTATATTACTGTCTACACTGCACTATACAATTGAGATTGGTGATTGTAAAAGGCTTTGATCCCAAACTTTGCGCGAAGATCTTTAATAAATACATTGAAATATTCATGTTTCTTACCAAATTAATTAATAGCTTACAAAACTTTTTTTTTTAATCTTGGCACAATAAAGAGAACGACCATGCAAGTTAGAAAAACGTGTCAATGGGCAAAGAATAACGGAAACCTTTATTCCTACATCCACGTATATGTGTCATAATTCAAACTATTTGAGGTGGAGTATAGTACTTGCAAGACTTCTTTGAACTCTATCTGCAGCAAAAGATTTGAGGAATATAGTCCAATTGTAAACTGTGAAGACTAAAAAAATGATGAATATGCTCGATGATTTTTATACTACTTAATTTCACAAAATTGTGTGCGACTCTTGTAACAAAGGGAAACAAGTTAAACTATCCAAACTATGGTGCTTTAGAACATAACTGTTATCATGTACTATTTTACTAAATATAAAGGGAGAAGGGAGGGGTTTGGTATAAACAAATTGTATCATTTAATATATTGCCGAATTTACTTTTATTTCTAAAGAGAATTATATCATTTTAACTACTCACCTTCTTACAATCACTTAATATCTTTTGCATTAACTAGCACTTCCCTGACAAAAAACAACCACTTTTTTTTTTTTAAATACTATAACAGTTTAACTATTTTAAATTACTATTTTCAACAGAAAAAATAATAGCAAGCAATTTTAATATATTTTTTATTAGTAGCTTGCACATTGATTGTACCTTAACCACTAGTTCTAATTACTTTAGAGCAATAATTTTGAGATATTTCATAACTGCTAAAATCTTCCGAATTGCAGTTACTCGAGTAATGAAAAACTAAAGTTTCAAGTAAGTTGTCAATACTAACAATATTATGATTAATCTTTTCTTCACTGATAGTGTATACACTGTCAACGTTGGATGAATGATAAATATCCAAAATTTGAATTTAAAATTCAACTTTTGTACATATGACATAGATCTAACGGTGACAGTGTATACACTGTCAATATATATAAGATTTACTCATAATATTATGTATCCTTAAGATGATAAACCTGCCAAAATCTTTGAAACTAGTAGAGGATTAAAAAAAAATTCGGAATCAAATCCTTTAATTGAAAAAGAAACATATTGATGGGGATATAATATAGTGCTTCTTCTCATAAACTCTAAAGTTCATTTCTTTAAACCACTATTCCATAAGAATTATCAAGCTGTCTGCATGCACATCACTTTTCAATGCCAAAAAAAAAAAAAAAAAATTCAACGCATGGATAAAAAAGGTAGATTTGCCAGTAGACTCCTAACGAGGTAACTTTCAATATGTCCCTTGATATGTATAGTGACTCAAAATGCTTTTGTTGACTCGAAACTTGCAGCATTATTGTAACTTTATCTCTAGCCAAGGATATGACAAAATAAATGTTCTAATGAAGATTTTCAAGATTGGAATGATAATCAAAATACTCACTCAATATTATTCAACTAGCAGAAAATGTTAAATATTATGTAGCAAAAGAATATATGATTAATGTCATATACACTATCTGTAATTCTGTATAAAGATTTTCTACCCAATCAAGTATAGATATATGATACATGAGCAAAAATTGAATTTAAAATTTGAATAGTAACAATATGGCAATATGCTTGTTAAAAAATCCCTATACTAACAATGTATAAAAATTAATCTTAAGAATATAAGTGAAATCATAATAACAAGTTAACAATAACATTTCTCGTACTTTCAATAATGGTTAATACTAAGTTTGGGATAATAATCTCGAGATAGAGCATGTAGCATAAAGCTACCGACTGTAACTACTTAAGTCAACCGCAGTCAAACACTTCACTTTCAAGTTTACTGTTTTTGACATGGATGCTCTGGGAGTATTCAACAAGTTGAGATTGCGCTAAAAAGCTACAAAATCCTTTATCAGACTTCCTCTTTTGCAATGGGCTAAATATCTAATGTCTCCAAAACTCTGCTGAAATTTTCCATTTTTATTCGTTGCATTCATCACGTTTTGTAGATCCACTAGAAATTTATAGGCATAACATACAAATTTCTTTTTAAAACCAACATAAATGCATATGACATAATAAAACTCCAGTGAGTTGAAAATTGAAAAGAGAAATAAAATGCTCGCTTCCATTTTTCCAATCATGTACGAAAATTGCAAATATTGAAAATTTTTTTGTAGGAGATGACACGAATATGCCAATAGAAAATGTAAAGGACATGAAAGGATTTTTAAGGCCTGGTGATTGACCTAATTGCTACCGTGTTGGTGACCTAACTAGTCCAAATTTTAATTTGCTGTTTAAAGAATTCCACAAATACCCGAGCCAAAGGTCTCATGCTCAATACATTTGAAGATCTAGAAGGGTCTAATACTATCTCATGTTTAAACTCACTCTCCGAACTTATACACCGTTGGACTGCTCCATGCACATTTAAAGACTAGCTCCAATTCTTGGGAGCAAACTCAAACAACTCAAACTCAAATTCGAATAGCTTGTGGGAAGAAAATAAAAGCTGCATAAAGCGGCTTGACAATCAGGCACTAAAATCAGTGCTTCATGTGAGCTTTGGGAGCATTACTATAATCACGAGAAATACTTCTGAGAGTTTAGGTTTTTTTTTTTGCCAAAATGTCGCTTACTTTTCTATTAAATAATTAATGCCTTTACAACAGTATACAAAAGGGAGCAACTGCTCCATTAGAACTATGATGCTCGTTTGAGCCACAAGGGGAAGGTTCTTTCCCATTTAACATCAAGTATCAGTTTGGTTGCAAATTTTGCGAGTTTAAAACTAACTCTATCTTTCTGCTGACTAACTAAAGAGAATTTACACTTCGAAAAGGATGCTTGAAGTTGCTTTATATCTCTAATGATTATTGCGAGCTGGGATTCTTCTTCAGCCTCGTCATTAAGTCTATCTGTCAAGGCTTTACACTCAGATTGGATCTCTAAAGAAGCCCACTGTTTCTCCATTGCAAATAGTAGTCCTGCACGAATTGCTAAAGCTTCTGTTAAGATCCTATCCCTACTGAAAATCAAAGGAATCGCCCTTGTCGCTGTTAGCTTCCTACTGTTATATATCGCTGACTACTATGCCTAGTCCTGCCCTTTTTCTCACTGTATCAACAGTTCCACTGGTGGACAAACACATTGCTCTTGGGGTTTCCACAGTGGGTATACTGGATAAACTTGTGTTGCTTGGGTCCAAAGTTGGGCTCCTTTCTTCTTTCACTACCTCTTCATATTCAAGCCACTCTTATTGGGCTTTGGTGACTATATGGTGGCTTTCTTGAAACTTAGAATTGAAACAGACTTCATTTCTGGTCTTCCATGTGTGCCATAGGAAGTTTGCTGTCAGGGCAATATGTTCCGAACCCTAGTTCCTTTGTGCAGCCTCTTGTAGTTGGTTCTACCATCTTCCAAAATTCCACCGGTAGTCTAGACATCCATCCCACTGAATTGGGAATGGTTTCCAACTATCTTGGACATTTCTGTAGAAAAAGAATAAGTGTTCAATTGTTTCTGTTTCTTCTCCACATCTTCTGCAAACGTTGCACCCCTTCCCCGTTTGTGTGGCAATTTCTTCATTTGTTGGAAGGGACTGATTGAGACACTTCCAGATGAAGTGTTTAATCTTATGTATCAAATTGAGTCCCCAAAGTCTTTTCCAAATCATCCTTTGCTAAGTTCTGTACTTTGTCCGCCATATTCAGACTTCCTTGACTTATGGGTTTTTGCCATTTCCTTTAAAAGAGAGTAGCCTGTTTTGATTATGTAAATCCCTGACCCTGTGGAATTCCATCCCATTCTGTCTCTTCCACCATAAAGGCTTAAAGGGATGCTTTGAATGGCTACGCTCTCCTCTTCAGAGAATAGCTCGTTGTTGATTCCTGGATCACACTGTTGTCCTTTGATCAGCTGCTTCACCCTAATGATGTCACAGTTGGTAGGTTTGGCTAATTGAATTTTACCTCCTAGCAAGTTTGTGACCCACCTATCCTCCCAGATATTGATTGTTCCCCCATATCCCACATTCTTTCTACTTCCTTCTTCTATGAGGGCTATAGAGCTATGGATACTTTGCCAAATCCATGAATCCTCTGCTGCCTTTGTAGCCTGTAAAACAGAAGTATTTGGAAAATATTTTGCCTTCATGCTCTTGCTAACAAGCAAGTTTGGTTTTGTGATGAATTTCCAAACTTGCTTTGCTAGTAACGCCATGTTGAAATCCTTTAGATCCCTAAACCTTAATCCTCCCTTTGCTTTGGTTTCTGTCAACTTGTTCCAGCTCATCCAATGGATTTTCCTCTTGTTTCTTTTGCTACCCCACCAATAGTTAGCCATGATGGAATTTAACTCTTTGCACAAGCCCTTTGGCGGTTTGAACACTGACATAGCATAGGCTAGCATGGCCATTACCACTGACTTCAGTAGAACTTCTTTTCCTGCTTGACTCAGCAATTTTCCTTTCCAACCTTGGATTTTCTTTTTGAAACTCTCGCTAATGAAGCTCATGACCTGATTTTTTGATCGTCCTATCACAAGAGGAAGTCCCAAGTATTTACCTTGAGCAACTACTTTGATTCCCTCCAGTTCTCTCATGATGGCTTCTGAGTTCTGTCTGTCTGCGTTCTTGTTGAAGAGGGCCGTTGATTTCTCCAAGTTGATTTGCTATCCTGATGCGGTTTCATAGACTTTCAGGATCCTCCTTATTTCCTTAATCTCACCTACATTTGCTTTACAGAAAATCAAGGAATCATCAGCAAACAAAAGATGGGAAAGACTTGCCAGGGCCTAGTTAAAGAGACTAGAGAGGCCTTCAGCGCAAATAATAAAAAGATAAGGGGATAGAATGTCCCCTTGTCTAATACCTCTACAACATAGCCTTTTTTTTTTTTTTTTTTTATCACCATTGATATTGAAAGAAAAGGAAACAAAATTGATACAAGTGACAATCCATTTAATCCAAATAGGGCAAAAACCCATTTTAGCCATCACCGCAGCAATAAAGTTCCACTTTACTCTATCATAGGCTTTTGACATGTCTAATTTCGCGGCCATATAGCCATCTTTACCTCTTCTCTTATTATTTAGATAATGGATGCTTTCATGAGCCAGAATGATGTTATCTATGATTTGCCTACCAGGGATAAAAGCAGATTGGGTAGGATTGATACAATTTGAGAGGAGAGGTTTCATCCTATTGATGAGAATTTTTGCAATGATTTTGTAGACCACATTACATAAACTAATAGGTCTAAACCGATTGAGATTAATGGGAGCATCATTTTTTGGAATAAGGGTGATCAAAGTTTCATTTGTAGCTTTAGGCAAGAAGTTTTGATTGAAAAACTGCCTAACCATGTGAATCACCTCTCTTTTAACTATATTCGAAATTTTTGAAAAAATAAAGGGGGCATACCATTCGGCCCAGGGGCCTTGTGAGGATACATGAAGAAAAGGGCCTTTCTGATTTCAACTTCTGTAACTTTCCTGATTAGGGTCCTATTCATTTGGTTAGTTATTGTCCTTGAAATTCCTCCTAAGATCTCCCCATACTCTGTTGGATTGCTGGTTGTGAACAACTCTCTGTAATAGTCAGCCACCTACTTCCCAATTTGTTTCTCATTTTCCACCAACTGTCATCCATCCTCTGGAGCTTTGAAATCTTGTTTTTCCTTCTCCTAATATTTACACAGGAATAGAAAAATTTTGTATTATTGTCCCCTTCTTTTAACCAGCTTGCCCTTGCTTTCTCTGCTCCCAGAATCTTTCCTCTCTATTGTATGCCTCTTTCAATTGATCATTCAGATAGTTTAGCTTATGATGCATCCCCTCTTTGAATTTATTTTTCAGTTGTTGAATTTCCTGTTTGATTCTGCCAATGTCCTTATAAGCATTGCTTTTCAGATTTTTACTCCAGTTTTTCAAAGCCAACCTACAAGCCTTTATCTTTCTTCCTAGCATGAACTTTTTTGATCCTGTTTGTGGTTCCTCCCATGCTTTCTTGATAATCTCAGTTAATTCCTGATATTGTAACTGTACGCGACAAAATTTCAAGTCTGCAAAACGACAAGAAAAATACACGACAAATATGCGATATATAAATTTAAGAAAATAGATGAGTACAATCTCCGGGATTTTCTCAAACTTGTAGAGAGTTTCCTTCGATTCTTCTCTTCAAACGCTAAGTCAAGGGCTTCGCAGCTTGTTCTTGGATGCACCACTGATTCCTTCAAATCTTGATAAGGAAGATTTGAAGAACTTAGAAGATACTTGAAAATTCAAGTTTTAATATATGGAAGACTTGAAGAACTTGAAGATGCCAGCCTTTGTAGCTTGGAGCTTCAAAAGACTTGAGCGTATGAGATGTGTCTCCTTGATCTGCCCTGACTTGGTAGAGAGACCCCCCTATTTATAACCATAGTATGAGGTAGAGGGTCAAAACATGTATGCCGCTCTACTTGTCTTGCAAGACATGCAGTCATATTAGAACTGTGTCAATTTAAATATTATCTCTTCATTTTGTATTTATTAATAAAGAGATAATATCAATAAATAGTTCCTTGATTGGCCAAGTTTGTAGGAATATATGATGTGGCGCCATTTGATTGGACAAGCTATTGCAGTAAATAAGACATTTACAAGGATTAAATGACCCTAAATATTATTTCTTTAATAAAAAAATAATTATTTAGATATTTATCCATAATTTTGCCAAGTCATATAGACATGTGACACGGCATAATTTGATTGGCAGAGATATCCCGGCGATTTTAATTTGTGGCAACAACTGATCTTGACATGTGTAGAGACAGGATTGGATATCGCATAGCTAAACTTCCAAGGGCACCTGACACGGGGCGATATCCAATTGGATAAAAATAAGTCACATAAAAAATTTATAGACAAATGGTAATTTTTAGAATTAATTAAAATTTCATTGTGTACAAAATGCCCCCTTGAAACTTGTTTGTGAATACTAAAAGAAATTGATGGAGTATTTGAACGAACAAGTTTCGACATTTTTTTTTCCTTCAACTTAATTTGAATGTCATAAGATCAAGACAATATTGATTTCCAACCAAAGTCCGGGGGTGGACTTGCATAGGCCTTTAATTAATAGTATGGAATGGTGATTGAATGTATCAGTACTTTCAATTCCCAAGATCAAATTACTTCATACTGAAACTTTACATCCACCGTCCCACGTGTAGCTTTCCATTTGCCAATGTATCATGCGCACAAGAATTCTTTTCCTTTGCGAATTCAATCAAACTCAATTCCTGGGAACTTAGGAAATATTTCGATGACTTATATCTGTAAGAGGTCAACTTCCAATTGCAAAAGAAGACCAAACCCCCGGGCCTGTTAACTAAATCTCCGCGGGAAAAGAAATCTATTTCGATTCAAATTAGAATATTCTTCAACTTGAATTCTTCTTGAATGTGCGGCGCATATCTATTATAAATACTCAAGACCGAGGCATCAATTTACTCACAATCAAAACAAGAGCCAACTCTCTCTCTTTGTTTTTTTCTTTGCGCTGATATCATCAAGCTGCTGCTGCTCGTTCTTTGCAAATTGCTCCCATCGTGTCATCTTTAAATTGCTATGCCATCAGACGTGAGCCATTGGAAAATTTAGCTGCTGCTATCACTACAATTTGAAAGTAATTATCTCAACCCTTGTTCATAGATATTCACATGTTCTTATATTAATGGCTTGCGTGCTTATTTTAATTCACTTTGCTACTCTGAGTGTGACTAATACTTGGAGTTTGCATGCATTTTGTCGCATCTAATGTGACTAATACTTTAGGTTTGCATGCTGAGCCTGTTGCATCTTGAACTTATAGGATAATATAGTCTTGTAACGTGATTCCAATTCAAGTCCAATCTTCAATGTCATATTTGGCTCACTTATTTCCCATCAAATAAATATTATTCGTTAATGCTCTTGACTTCAATCATTATAGGCTAGCCCTCTTGCAAAAAGCAATCGACGAGTTTGGGTATCGAATTCAGGATCTTTGACAAAAGACTGTCACTTAGGTAATTTGATTATCAAAATTTTGTAAGAATTTCTTTTCAGCACCTGAATTTTTTTTTTACAAAATTTCATCAACCATGCAAATTAAGGATTATACCACGCCACTACCACATATCTCATTGATGGATAAACGAGGAGGGTTTCAATTGAAAAGTTTGTCATTATATGTGAATAAGCCAGCAATCGGCACCTTTGTTGAGCCTTTTATACCCTTTGAAGGATGCTTTCATCTTGAAGATTGGACCAACAAGTGGACTAAAGAAGTTGTAGCACCATCGACTTTCTCCACCGCATCAAAGGAAGAGGAAGTGGTTGTGTTAAATTCATCGCTTCACAATGAAAATTCAGAAATAACCAAATTCACACTTCCGTTTGTGGGGTTCAATATTGACAAAACTACCTGGAAGATTCCTTTGTCCTTCTTTGGCAAGACGTGCTTCACTTCTCACTATTGAGAATGGGTCGAGGACATCCTTGGAAGGCATAAAGAGGTGCTCACACGTGCCTGCATGTTTGAAGCCGTCTGCGCGTCGAGATTCTCCTACGACCATTGTGAAAATATCTTGTGAGCTTTCTTCAAATATTGGTCTCTCCACAAATACACTCTATACGTCTATTGGGGAGTTGTCCATTACATTTTGGGACCTTTATCGATTTGGTGGCCTTCAATTGATGGCGCATTCTTTGATGAAGTTGTCCCTTCAGCACAGGAACTTCTCACTTGTGACAAAGAAGGGAAGCCACTTCTCCCTGAGAGTTGCAGGCATCTCTTTTCCGCTTACTACCACCTTTGGGCGAATGACCAAGGGGTATGGATGAAAAACTGGATCGGTTTCTAGTTCAAAGGAGAGGCTAGATATAGGGATCCTCTGAGCAGGGCGAATAGAAGCAAAATCATATCTAAACCAAAACTAACCTACAACCCTTCTGGAAGCGTAGAACCTCATGACCTTGCTGATACAAAAGACTTCAACATCCCTTTTGCCACATTGGATATTTCAGGGTTCTTGAGAAAGGAAACCTATATTGCAACATTCATAGCATAATGTGTTAGATTTGCAAGTTTTTTTTTTGCCAAGTAAGAAAGTCGATCGCATTCGTCCAAGTGTCTTCAAGGTTGCATGCTTAATAGTCATCGGGAAAAAAAATTTTCTTGCAATTCCCGTCCTTGCGAGCATATATCATGGATTGATGGAGATCTTCTATGTCCCTAATCTTGGAGAATGTGGGGTAGTTTTTTCAATCCATTACATCTATGTTTGGAATGGTCAATAATTTGACGTATATTATGTGAATACTTAAGGGAGCAATCACCACGCGCGCATGACAAGATTTAGTGGTGAGAGAGAAAATGACAATATTTTATGGTAAATCAGAAACTGATGAAATCTTCAAAGAAGTGAATTCTTTGACGCTTTCCAAATTGTGTTGGACTGAGAATGAAGAAAAGGTGTTGGCCGACAACGGGTCCTTATCATCAAGGCTTATGAGTTAATTTATCAGTCAATGCTCGTGCCATTTAACTCTACGTAAGGACAATATTTTTATTATTGAAAAATATAATCCTTGTAGATTTAGTAGACAGTTCGGCTTCTATCAGGATATTCCAAATAATTTGAATGAAATCACTCACACTTATACTTTGGGTGAGACTATTCAATTATGGGATTTTTCAATTCGCACGTAGACGCAATCTCGGATGACTATACCTATGCATAGGAAGCATCCATTGATCACAAAAGACTACGATGTCTGGTGGTCAACACAGTCAAATAGCGTCTCTTCAACTTCCTTTAAATTCACCGTTAAGATCCTTCAGTAATCATCAAAGAAGGGCAAGATTACCTCTGTCAGTGAATCAATGTATCATAATGGAGTTATAGAGACTGGAATAGATCCTACGATATCTACCTTGTCGAAGGGCAAAATTACAAACACTTGCTTGAAAAGCATTAGCACGAAACATAAGTCTTCAAAGGATTCTCAATCGGCCACCAAAGAGACGAAATTAGCGACTTCAATAAAGAAGATGCACTACAACAAAAATGGCTTTTCTTGACACGTGTATAAGGACACTTGTTGGTTTGTATCATTATAGCACTTCTATCATGACATTTGTTATCAAATCAATAATATATACTTTAATTTTTTTTTATTTTATCTGATATAAAAATAATAATGTGTCTTTAGATTCCCTATCATGACACTTGAGAAAATGTGAGATACACCAAAAAAATTTAAACATAAAACGATGTCGTTTGATTTTGGCGGAAGATTCCTTTGCCAAAACACTTAGTGAAATCTCAAAATTTCATTTTGCCGGCCAGGAAAATTTTGGCTCTTCTCATCTCTCTCGGCAAACTATCTCTCAAAGCTCTCTGCCAAAATTTTCCTTTCCCCACAAAGTTTTTTTTGCTGAATCTCTCCGCAATCAAACTACCTTTGCTTCCCTATTGAAGGTATGTAATTGCATGGTTACTTTTTGCCCTAAATTGTACAATTTTCTGATTTCCTGCTCCTGCTCTGTAAACCAACTGATGTGAAAATAATTAACTCCTGTAAGCTGCAATAAGATTCTGTGGTATGCTAGTTCAAGTTCGATACTGATTTTTCTTCTAAAAGTTGCTTCATTCTCAATCTTGTTTTCATGATTTTCTGTTTCGGCTGACAGGTAAGAACTATATATTAGTTGGCATGGTTCACAAGCCCAATTAATTATAATAGATGCAGAGCTAATCAAAGAATTACTAACCAACAGAGAAGGCGCTTACCAGAAAATGGATATGGAAGGCATTGCAAAGAAATTATCAAATTAATAGGTGAGCCGCTTATAACAAATGAGGGGAAAAAATGGGCAAAAGTACACAAACTGGCTAACCACTCATTCCTTGCAGAGAGCCTAAAGGTAAGCCTTCTTCTATGTTAATCACATCACGAGTCAAGAATAAGAAAGTTCGTTGTCCCATATATGAAAATAGGAAGTGAATTTGGCATATAATATTGCTCGAGTAATTCCCTATACATGATTTGCTTCTCATAAGAATAACCTTTTGCACAGAGCAAGGTACCAGAAATGATTGCTAGTGTCGAGGCATTGCTGGAAAGCAAAGGTATCAGCCCTCGTCTTATGCCAAAAAAGCTCCTCTTGCCCCCTGCCCTGTACCCTGGCTTCTCCCACATAAGTGACCACTACCCTTTATACTGGATTTGTTGTCCATAACCTGTTCGATAAAATGTCAACCTTCTTTCCTTTGGTACTGATATTAATTTACTCAATAATATATAAACTAATAGAATTATTGTAATTAAGATGCTTTATCCTCTTTCATATCTGTGAGCGCATTTGATGTGTTTCTGTTGCTTTGACATATGCTAGTTTATTGCTGATCTCTTTCTTCAGTCTGTAATTAAGAAGAAGTATGGCCAAGATGCAACAAATGTTGGTGATGAGGGTGACATTGCTCTAATATCCAGGTTAGTTCATGGCATTTTGCTAATATGCTTCCTGTTCATTGTTCAATTCGGTTGTCATATATTTTACAACTTTGTGACTTTGACATTTCAGGAGAACAAGGAAGGTCTTGAATTGCTTAAAACAGCTATTGCTAAAGCTGGTTACACTGGTAAAGTAAGTATTGGAATGGATGTTTATACTGGTTACACTGTTCTTGAATGCTATGGGTATATGTTTTGCTGGTGAAAATGGAGCAGATGTCAAAGGCGGATGTTTGTATGGAAGCAGGCTGCATCCAAGCTTAGGGGTGTACAAGTTTTTACTTACACAGAGCTTGAGATTGCAACAAACAAATTTAGTGCAGCAAATGTGATAGGAAATGGAAGGTATGGGGTAGTGTATAGAGGGATTTTGAGTGATGGCACTGTGGCTGCAATTAAGATGTTGCACAGAGAAGGGAAACAATGAGGAACGTGCCTTTCGGTTAGAGGTTAGTGGACTTCATTTATTGCTAGTTTTCATATTATCCAATTTTTTAAGCTACATAAGCTCGTCAATTAAACTCATCTGTACACTCAATTGAAGATTTTTTTTTTGTTTTTTGGTATTTTCCCCTCTTTGGCTAAATACATTGGGGAATAAAGGGAAGTGGTGAGTGAGAATGGAAGTGAGATATTTGCCTAAAAAATTAATGGTACTTCTGGCACTGGTCCAGCCATTGCTTTCTTGAACATCCTAATTGAACTTATTTGATGGGTGCTTGTATGTGGTATGGTTTATTTCAACAAGTCTGTATTGAAATCAGTTTGAAGAGTTTGAAATTGCTGCAGGTTGTGATTGGGATGGATGTGGCTGCTTCTGAGTTTTATGGTAAAGACAAGACTTATGATCTAAACTTCAAAGAAGAGGTATTGCTTTTTCACATTTTCTCCCCAGATTGTTATGTCAAACGTTCGAATTCATTGCTAAGCCAAAGGATAAAATTACATCTAGATTCATAAATTCTAGTCTTCTAAAGGGGGGTAATTTCAATCATAACATCTATCTTTTTGGTCATTCTTCTTCTTTATTTAGTATGTTTGCTGCTTTAGTAGTATGTTTGGTGATAGCAAGTAGAAATTTCAGTGCAATGATGGCAACTGGATCAGTGTGTTATTCCAAAACCTTTTGATATACAAGAAAATATAACTTGCGTTATCACCTTTGCTTTTGCCAGTTAAGTTTTGCAAACCTGCTTGGTACCAAAATTTGGCTATTCAGCAATCAACTTTATTTCAAATGAAATGAATCCTGTTTGGTATCGTTACTTTACATTAGAACGTAATTGCTAGGTGCTGATATCTTTAATTTATTTTTTTATTTCTGGTCTTTCTTTGCAGAATAATGATGGCTCACAAAAGATATCAGGTTATGACTGAAGGCTCTCATTTCATTGGAAAGTTTGGAAGCTACTGCAAGTTCTTTCTACTTGCTAGGGATGAGAATATTTTAGTTTGTGCACAAGAGAATCTTTTAAGTTTGTGCACATGAGAATCTTTCAAGTTTGTATTTGTTAGGGATTTGTTATGTTAGTACTTGTTACTGACTTTTAGTTTAACAAATTATATTTGAGTATTGACTTTTGCTTTTAGATTACTATATGCATTCTGTTCTTTGGGATAATTTTACAAGTCCTTTGGGTTTCTGATTGACGGAATGTATAGCAGGGAGCACTACCTGCAGGTTGCTTCTATATAAAAAAAAAAAGAAAAAAAAAACTCCTGGCAGTTAAAAGTGTCAGCATAGAATTCGATATTCTAATGTTGTACTATACCTATCCTGACACTTTCAATTATCAAGAAAAGGGATTTTTGTTGGCAGATGGGATGTTATAACAGCATAGTTTTCCTGACATGTCGAATAGTATGAGTCTATCCCCACATTGGAAGGGACAACACTCGCCCTAGGTGTGAGGATAGATAAAATGTCAGGTTAGATTATCTATACTGACACTTTTAAATGCCGTTAAAGGCCATTTTTGTTGTAGTGATGCCATCAACAATTTCAAAATCTTTGTCCATGACTTTCATGGGAGAAAATGCCGAGATTGAAATGTTGAATTATCCCGATTCTATCAAGAATATTGAAAAGGATGAAACTCAAATTCAGTACACGGGATCTATCCAAGAAGGAATCCATTCATTAGCAAGTGGTAGTAGCAATCAAGACCGCTATTGGAATCGATCAAAGAAGAGGACGTCTTCTGATTTAGAGGAGATTTCCTTTACATTATCGTTGGTTAGAATGTCACCACTTAAGATAATTAAGCTTATATTATCTCTTATAAATTTTATTTTTTTAAAACTTTTTTTAGCCCTTTTTTCTTGAATTCCACCAAGAAGATGTTGGCAACAATTCACCGATTGAATTTGAAGCAGATGATGCAATTTCAAACAATAAAGGTGACGAAGTTGTCGCCAGCATTCTAAAACAATTTGTCACCAGTGGATGTGTCTCATCAATGCATAAGAAGGGGCTGACTAGTTCGCACGAGATCCGAAAGAGGCCTAAGGTAGCATTGATTTCAGAATTTCATGGGCAAAAATTGATCCAAACGCATCGAAGGAAATACTTGTAGAGTTTGTGGATGGATTTTCGCAGGCAGATTCTTGACACTCCTATTGAGCAAATATCTTCTTTATAAGAGTGCGCAAAGAAAATTATTATAGAAATCACAAGGACAGATTCTACCAATGATCTTTTTTTAAAAGACTCTTTGATAGAATTGTTTGCCAAGACAGAGACATACGATATTTTGGCATCTTCATCTTGAAAAAAGATGAGTAAAGAGACACATACAGAACTTCTTTCTAAAGTGACTGCACAATTCGGGAGAGTTAAGACAAAGGAAGAAGAACTAACTTGTTATATGTAGAATCTTGAAGAAAAGTTGCAATCTATCGAAGATAGGAAGAAAGTTCTTCAACAGGAACTTATTGATTTGGAGAGACAAGGTACGTAAATCAACTCGACTATCGATCAAAAGTATGAAACTTTTATGGAGATCCAGATTGAGATGACCCAAACGCATGATGAGTTCTCTTCTATCGAGAATGCCAGCGTCTTAACTGATGATGCAGCGAAGGAACTTGAAAACATGAAATCCGCACTCGAAACATGTAAAATAATTGTAGTTGATTATAAGTTTGACATTTAGACTTTTCATCATTTTCATTAAAATTTTTTTTAATCATTTTTTTCATGTAATGAAACTTTTTATGAATAATAAAATACTTTTCATCCCTTATCTCTTATTATTTTTTTTCTAAGAGAAAAGTACTTTTAAATTTGCAGCAGCGTAGTACATGGAAGAATTGTATTGTTTGAAGAGAAACTTTTCATAAAATTTATTCATTGATATATTACAAAAAAACTTACCATTATCGGTGATGATATAACTTGGGACTCTATACCGGTAAATAATGTGCAAATGAATGAAATCTACTACATTCTCTTTCTTGATCTCTTTTAGAGGAATTGCTTCAACCCATTTTGAGAAGTAGTCTGTTGTTGCCAAAATAAAAATGTATCCACAGAAGATTTTGGAAGCGATCCAACTATATCCAAATCCCAAACATCAAATGGCCAAGAACCCACAGTTGGGTGCAATGGTTCAGGAGGTTGATGGATGAAATTGCCGTGAAATTGACAAGTTTGACATCTTCTAGCGAAATCGATGCAGTCCTTCACCATCGTTAGCCAGTAGTATCTCATTCTCTTAATACAAAAATATAATTTTGGACCAAATTGATGAGCACCACATATCTCAGATTGAGCTTCCTCCATTGCTTGCATGGTCTCATCTTCTCCAAGACATCGTAGAAACACTCCATCAAATGATTTTTGATAAAGCGTCCCTTTATAATAAATGAAACGTGGCGCTCGACTGCATATGTCAACCCTTTTCTTGGGATCTTCTGATAATTTTTCATGATTAAGGTAATCAATGATGAGATGACGCCAATCCTCCTTTTCAATCTCATGGACGTATATATGATAAGCATTTTCTCCCCCACCATTATCTTGTTCATCGAACATTAGGGATATGATCCAATTTTGACATATTGAGATTTGATTTCGATGAGAAGGTAAAGTGAGCATGGACACTAATCTTGCCAAAGAGCCAACTTGTTGGTTGAATTTTCTAGGGATATGCACTATGGTGACATTGCCTAAATATCCCATGAGTTGTCTCGCATAATGATAATATGAGATTAATTCAAGTTTAACATTATAAATATCAAAAAGTTGGTTTACCATCAACTTGAAATAACCGTAGATCCTAAGATGCAATTGTTTCATGTCTACAACCATCTCAAAATCAAGAATTAACGCTTGATATTCGGCCACATTGTTTGAGCATCGCTGCATTAAATTGAAGAAGTACGACAATATTCTACCTGAGGCATATAAAAGATGACTCTCGCATCAGCTCCATCACGGTGAGCAGCCCCGTCGAAATACATCAACCACAGAGATTCGACCTTAAATACTTATTCATCGGGGAGTTCATCAGTCAACTGTCATTCGGCAGGTATGGGATGATTAGCTAGAAAGTTTGCTAATATTTGTCCTTTGACAGCCTTTACAGGTACATAAATAATTTCAAGTCGTTAAAATTAAAGACACCTTCTTACAAGACGGTTAGTAGCACTGGTTGTGTCATGACATATTTAATGGGGTTAGTTTTGGATATGAGTTGGATAATGTGTGCTTGAAAATAATGTTTTAATATTTGAATGACAAATATAAGCCAAACACAACTTCTTAATAGGTGAATAATTCAACTCATTTAATGTCATCATGCGACTCAAGTAATACAGTGCATTCTCCTTGCATTCATCATTTTCTTGAGCAAATAAGGCTCCAACCGATCGTTCTTGAGCGAAAATGTAAAGGATTAATGGCTTTCTGGGAACTGGCGCAGCTAACACAGGAAGACTCATGAGATAAGCCTTAATACTTGCGAAAGCATTTCTGGGTACTCCTTCTTTTTATCAATCGACTAAAGGATTGGCACCATCCGGCCAAATTAGAGATAAACCTCCGAATATAAGCCAATTTTTCTTGAAAACTCTTCAATTTATGGATATTTAGTGGTTCAGGCATATTCACAATGGCATTAATTTTAGATCGATTAACTTCTATTTTTCGCTGATGAATGATGAAACCGAGAAACTAACCAGAAGCGACTCCAAATTCGCACTTTAAAGGATTCATTTTCAGTTGATATCTTCGAAGGTGTTAAAAAATTTTTCGAAGGTCTTGGATGTGATCTTCTCGCTTTTTTGATTTCAACACAAGGTCGTCAACGTAGCACTCTACATTTCGATAAAGCATATCATCGAAAATTCTTTGCACTGCCCTTTGGTATATTGTTCTGGCATTTTTCAATCCAAACGGTATTACTTTATAATAATAAATTCCTTTAGGAGTGCGAAAAACAGTGAGTTTCTCATCTTTAGCTATCATGCGTGTGGTTGTAACCAGAGAATCCATCGAGGAAAGATAGTGCTTCGTGTTTCGTTGTAGCATCTACTGTCAATTGTGTGATGGGGAGTGAAAAATCATTTTTTGGACAAGTTTCATTCAAATCTCGAAAATCTACACACACTCGTATTTGTCCATTCTTCTTTTTCACAGGAACGATACTCGAGATCCATGTTGGGTACTTCACTTTTCGTATGAACCCAATTTCAATCAACTTATTTACCACATTTTCTATCAAAGAAATTAATTGGGGTCGAAAGCGTCTTTGAGCTTGCTGTAGACACTAAAATTTCAATTCTATTTAATTTCATTTTAATTTTAATTGAATTTAATTTAATTTTATAATTAAAATTCGTAAAATGATAATTAGCTAGTTTTATTGGATTAAGGTTCATTTTCTTTTAAATAATTTTCAAAAAAAAAAAAGAAAAGTCTTACAAAAATTTGTTTTCAATCTTTTCAAATTTAATTTCTTCAAAATAAATGAAAATTTGCAAGACAATTTCAATTAGAAATTTAACATTTTGGTTACCCTAAATTTGTTTTGAAAAACAAAATAAAAAGAAAAAACAAAAAATAAATAAAATATGTGGAATGCATGCAAGATAGCTAGGTGGAATGCATGCAAATGAGCTATGTGATTTTGGCATTTTGCACATCACAACATTCAAAGGATAGGTGGTAAGGACATGTGGAAGTTGGAGGAAAAAACTGGAAAACAAAAAAAGAAACAAGAAAAGGAGCTTTGGGGGGCTGAAAAAAAAGGGGAAGGAAAAGGGTTTCGGCTGAGGAAGAACGCAAGAGGAAAAAGGAAAAAAAATCGAGAGAGAGAGAGATTGAGAGAAGGGGCAGGAGAGAAAACAAGAAAGGAGGAAACAAGAGAAACTGCGGGGAGAGCCTGCGGAGGAGAAAAGAAAAGGAGAAAGAGAGAGACTGAGAGAAAAAAAAAACCAGAGAGAGCTTCGGGTAAGAAGAAAAGAGAAGGAAAGGGAAAAGGGAGAAAAAGGGGAAGGAAAAGGAAGAAACCAGAATGGGAGAATCTGTGGAACATCTAGGG